TTTTTGGCATTGACAAATGCCCTGAAAATTTACAGATATGTATTTTACATAATCAATAACTCGTTAAAAAAAAATTCAAAAAATAATAAAATGTTTTAGGCCCCGAAATAAAGTGAAAACACAAAGTTGAAAGTGAAAAAAAGCAAAATAGTGAGTGGGCGAGCACGTTTTGACACCCCCATCTTTGACGATTTTTAATGTTTTTCTGGCTTAGCAGAATGGCTTCAAAATTTATAGGCGTGTAGGTTACATCATAGATAACTCACAAAAAAATATTCAGAAAAAAAAAGCTATTTTTAGGCCCCGATTTTTTTTTTGCGGGGGCCGAACCTGGAGGTATTCAGCCCCCGAACGGGAACCCGAACGCCCGAACGTTCGGGGGCCAGCCCGGGGGCCCCCGAACGTTCGGTCAGGTAACTCATTACCGTCATAATTAATAAATCAATTTAAAACAATCAAATGGGAAGAAGAGAGCTGTGGGAAGATGACGTGGGGGATCGATTGGTGGGGGGGAAGGTCGGGAGAATGTGGGGCAGATATAACTGTTCGTGGGGGAAGAATTGGTGGGATGATTGGTCAAAAGTTAGTAGTGGGATTGGTACTGAGTGGGTGGAGAGAAATGGGTGTATGAGTGTGAGGTGAGGGGGGACCAGGGATGGTGAGTCTGAGTGGGGAGACGAGGTAGGGAGTCGGAGTGAGGGTCAGGGTGTGGCGGTTCAGGGGGGGGTTGGGTAGAAAGCTGTGCGGGGTGAAGTGGGAGCGATGCCGGCGATGGGGAGGGAAAGTTTGGGCGAGAAGTTGGGGTGTGGGAAGTCAGGGTAGGGAGCTGGGGTGGGAGTCGGGGAGCGGAGGTGGAGGGGAGTTGGGTAGAAAGCTGCACGGGATGGAGCGGGAGGGGGTCGTGTTGGGGAGCCGGGGTAGGGAGTCTGGGTAGGGAGTCGGAGTGGGGAGCCGAGGGGGGTGAGGAGGGAGGGGGCTTGGAGGGAGAGATGTGACCAGACTGTCGGTATGATAGGTTGAGCAGGAGGAAGTCGGGGTAGGGAGTCAGGGAAGGAAGTCGGGGTAGGAAGTCGGAGGAGGGAGTCGGGGGGTGGGTGGGGATGGAGGGGGCTTGAATGGAGAGACGTGGCTAAACTGTCGGGAGTATAGGTTGAACAAGGGTTTTTTTTCCTAATGTGGAAGGGCCTGCCGCCTGAAGCAGCACTACTACAGGCAAGTTCCTCGTATCCCTATTAGGGCTTGATTTACAACTCTATCTTGCCTTCTATGCTCTCCGTTACCCTTTGCCGGATCGAACCTTCTTCTGACGCTGGCCTTGGCGTGGATACTGTGTGACGCGATGAGCATGGGAGATTGTCTATCCGAGCACTTGCCTTAAATAGGTGAGGATCGATGGAGCGTGAGTCACCTTCTCACTTGGATGTTCTTGGGCGTATTTGAGGTTGTAATCTTGTAGGTGAGTTCCATTTTTCTCCCTTTTGTCGTCCCCTCTGTCTTGTGCTGGTATGCGTCCGGCAGCCTAGTTTTCCCGGTCTTTCTCCTCTCTTTTCACCGCTTTGTCGTTTCCCTATTCCCATCTTCCCTTGTCTTCTCTCCTCCTCTCCCTGCTTTCCTTCCCACTCTGGTCTCTTCCCTCCTCCTCCCCTGTCCTTTCCAGGAAATGGGATTGTCGACGCCGCGCCCGTGGGCGCGGCCCTGCTGGTGATGGCGTGTCGTGACCCTGGCGCATTGCCGGTTTCAGTCCCAGAACAAAGTTACTAACGATTTTCTCTTTCTCCTTCCGGACTCACTTTCTTTCCCACTCTGGCAGCACTGTTTCCTCCTCCTCTTCCCTCCCCTCTTTCAGCACTTCCTTGCTTTTACTATTTCCTTTGTGCTCCGGTCGTCTTTTGCCGTGGTGATGATTGCTTCGGCTATGGCAATCCTGTTGCCACGCCCGGAGGCGTGGCGTGCTGGCTTTCTTCCCCGCCCGAATTCGAATGCCTCTCCAGTCCCTACTCCCGCGCACGCATTTCGATGAGAAAACGCGCGCGGGTGGCTCCTGGGGGAGCCTGGAGTTAACACGCGAGGAACGGGTGCGTTAGCGCTTACCACTGGTGCTGGCACCGGCCATGAGAACTCAATTCATCTTCACTTCTCAGAAAGATTGATTTATTATTGTCTCTATTTTTGCTCCATCAGCCCTTAGCAGGTGGACAGAAAGGAATAACTTGGACTTCTTTTCCGGTTTTTTTTTTTTTTTTTTTTGTGGTTGAAGGGGACGAGAACCGGCAGAGGGAGAGGTCTCGTCCCAAAACTTGTGGGCTTGATTGGCAATCAATCCTTGGGAAGGGAGTAATCAATGCTGTCAGGGTTCCACAGGCCATACCGTGGGGAAGCCATGTAAACTTTCTGAATTGCTGGTGGAATCCAAGAGCCAGACCATAGAGCCCCTTGGGGTCTCCCAAGGCGCCCACCATGGTTGCACGGGGCTAACCAGGGGGGGCAGAGGCCCGATCCAAACAGCAGGGGGGCAGGCAGCCCTCTAGGGTTTAGGGTTTAGGGTTTAGCAAGCCGTGGGGGCGTCTTGAGCAAACGGGAGGGCAGCAGAAGCAGAGGCAGAAGACTCTAAACTTACAGACAGTCGTGACTAAAGGGACGAGGAGTTAGTGAATAATCAGCCGTGGCCTGGGCGGAGTGGACAGGTAGATATCCCAAATGGGGGTGTGGACATAAAACCCCAGGCAGACACCAGGATTAACGAGGAGTTCAACAGGGTAACTTAGGCAGGGGTGATGGGTGGTACATCCTTCCAATGGAAGTAATCAATGCCGCACCCGCTCGGGTCTCTCAACCGTAATGGGGAGAAGCGTTGGCATGCACTCGTTGTATTTCGATTGACTTGCCGGTGAGTAGGAACCGGACTGATGCTCCCCAGAATGGACAAGGATCCAGAACCATAAAGTTCTGTTTTTTTTTTTTTTTTGCCAAAGAAAGGGAACCAGACGATGCTCCGTAGAATGGACAAAGGAGCCAGGCCCATAAGTACCTGCTCTTTTTTTCTGGGAGAAGTTTCTTATGATGTCATGTGGGAGGTTTCTATGCCCACAACGACTGATCGTAACATGGACGCGTCATGCGTTCATTTGCTTTGGGTTTGTAGTTGGGCTTTACATTTGCTTGTCAAGCAAAATGCTGTGGGCTCATCGGATTTGTGTGTCCGTTCCTTTCTTCACATGATGACGAGCGATGGTGTTTTTATTCAGCCCTGCCAGTGTATTACAATGTCCTTCGTAGGTTATTTGACGGACAAAATGGGATTGCAAGTGGAATAGAGCCTGGAAGATCGAATTTCGGAGTGTTGCTGACTGGATGAGGGTACTCATTGATGACATACATTGTTTCCCAACACAAGAGTTGTGCCAAGGGTTGCATGACGAACGAACTTTAGAACAATCTAGGGAATCAACAAAAGTACGACAGAACCTACCTCTACCCAGACTTACCTATCGTACGACGGAATTGGTTCTGTCAGGAAAATGTGATAATTTGACAACAGATAATTTTGCACGCAAACCTCAGGCAGACACCGTCACACAGCAACTGCTCTCAAAGTTCCACGGCAAGAAAATCTGTGTAGATCTGCAAAGCCTCATAACACCATCCCTGGTGATAATGGTGTGTGTTCATGTCTGTGCATGTGTGCATGTGTGCATATGTGTGTGTATGTGTGTGCATGTGTGTGCGCATGTGTGTGCATGCGTATGCCTGTGTGTCGGGGAGGGGGCGCTCTGGCGGTGGTTTGAAATGTGACAGGTGGACCCCGCAGTGGGAGCAGCAATGCTGGCAATGACGAACATTCAAGCAAGTGGCACCATGCTTATTGGCCCAGCATGAGCACTTGGGACACCAGTTTGTCCCAGTCATGGTAGAGTGTACGACTGTAAACCGGGACAGAAAACCTGGATATCAATCTCACTCAGCGAATTTCACTTCCTCAAATCTGTAGTTCGAATCTGTCATGTAAAAGTTTCTCGAGTGATGTTTTCCGTGGCGAAGCGCGTCAGGACACAGTGGCTGTTCCGTTGTTACATTTCGGCAGTGTTTGCATTCTACAGGTACGAGGACTCTGCCTACACTCCAGAAGATTACAGCTTCTGCAAACGCGAGGCCCATTGTGAGCGTCAAGGACGTGCAGCATTGTATGAGGTAGCACTGAGTTTGTCCATTTTCTGCTAGGACAACTTTGGAGAACAGGAAAGGGATAACAAAGCCCCTTGTTTTGCCGATACGGAAGCTCGTGGGTCGCACAGGTCCTCGGTTTTCCCAACACACCTTGAGAAACAGTCTAAAACAGACCTGAAGCCATTTGTTCTGATAACCCACTGTCTGCTAAGAAGACGGTGTGTGTGAAGTTGTGAACCTTTGTCTAGTATGGCAAGCTCAGTCCAAGATTGCCTGTGCATCCCGCTGATGCAGGCCAACCCACCAAACACTTGCAACGTCTTTGCCTTTTTTCCTCCGAATCAAAAGACCTCATTAATATCAAATGAGACCAGTGTCCTTACAGTCTGGCCCATAAACAGCAAGATACTTGGAACTGTTACCCGTCAACAGTTTACTGTTCTGTCAGGCTTTACAGCCCCTTGACGACCGAACATCAGTGCACTGGCAATGGCTTAACATAATTGGCCTCTGGGAATACATGTGCAGCTCTTCACAGAGTCTTCAGTATTCAGCGAGTTCCCAGCCCAAAAATGCTTCTGCTTGATTTCCGAGATCGACAGGCTTCTGCTTGAATTTTCTGAGATCGACAGCGTCTTGCTTGGTTGAGACAACTGGGACATGCTTTGAGGCCATATTTTGAACCAGTGAGGGGTTGAAAGAAGCGACAAGTGAAAAAGGGACAGACAAGGTAAATGCCAACATCGATGGAGATGGAACTGCAAAAAAATGGAGGAGAAGGTGACACACAGACAGACTGCAGCACCTCGACTCTGTCGATCGACATGCTGTTCACTAGACGCCCGCTAAGTGAAACTCCATTTGACGAGAATCTGCAGGGAAGGTTAGAACCTGAAATGCGCCTTTCAGGTTGATCCTGATAGTGAGTTTTGAATCGGAACCAGTGGGGCATTAAGACGTCGGCCTGTGAAGTCGAGGTCGTCGGTTCGGATCCGTGCTTGCACGGAGGAGGACTTGGGACGCGGATGTGCGGAATCACTGCGGATCCGCTTCGCCGCTATGTTATGGCTGTACCGATAACTTGTACTGCAGTAGCAGGAACTGTAGTTCCAGATCCTCAAGCCGGGATTCTTTTGCTTTTTTTAATTTTTATTTTAAACTTCCATCAAGTTGACAAAAGTAGACATTTCTCATCGTTTGAAGAGTTTGACATTTCTCACGTTTTCTTCAATATACACGGGAGGTCTACAATGTGCACATGAAGGCAACGTGCTGGAGGATATGGTTGCAGGCTGGGTCCATTATGAGGTGATGAGAATGGAAGGGCTATGGGAATTGGTTTCATGAGCGCTTCTGGCCGACGACGTAATCTGTGACATAGTGTATGCTGGAAAAAGACATTTGAGCATTATGTGTTGTTTTCCTCTCGCTCGCTTATCCAATCAGTATTGCTCACTTGCACCACAACTGCCAGGTCCAATGTGATTATGCACCCATGTCGCAGGGTCTCCAGTTGGCGCAGGAGTGCTAGCCAGCTGTTATTGTGGCATTCCCTTCTTGCTCATGCAACGAGTCTCAGTTTGTCAATCACGCATCCACCGGGTGCGATGTGATCATGCATCAATGCAAGTGGAGAGCAGCGCCAACCAAACCATAGAACACTTGGAGAAGACAACAACCGCAAATGAAGAGGGTGGATTCCAACAGTGGCCCCAATGAACTGCAAGAAAGTTTTTTTTTTTTTTTTGGGGGGGGGGGGGGGGG